GAAGAATTGAGAGAGACTGAAATGAGTCACAGAAAATCTGAGGAGTATAATCTGATAAATAATCCTGGCAAAGAAGCAGGATATGAAGTCTACATATAAAATGCAGTAGCATTTCTATATACTAATAACAATCCAGCTAAGAAACAAATGAAGTAAAAAAAAATCCCATTCACAATAGGCTCAACAGAATACTAAGGATTAATTTAAATAGGGGTATGAAAGATACCTACCATGAAAACTATGGAACATGGAATTACATTTTTAAAAATATACCAGAGATTGAAAGATATCCTATGTTCATGGATTGATAGAATTAATATAGTGAAAAAAGACTGTACTACCAAATTAATCTACAGATTTAATGTAATAAACATAAAAATTACACCGTAATTCTTTGCAGAAATAGAAAAATCAATGCTAAATTTTCTGTGGAAAAATAAAAGACCCAAATAGCCAAAGCAATCTTGAGCCAAAGAGCAAAAAGTTTGGAGGTTTCTCAGTACAATTTTAAATTTTATTACAGAGCCATGGTAACAAAAACAGTAATAATGACATAAAAACAAACATGTAGTACAGGGGACTAGAAGACCCAGAAATAAGCCAACACAGCTACAGTGATTTGATTTTCAATAGTATGCCAAAAATATGGGGAAAAGACAGTGTCTTCCGAAAGGACTGCTGGGCAAACCAGATAACTACATGGAAAAGATTGAAACTAGATCCTGGTCTTAGTCTGCACAAAAGTCAGTTCAGAATGAACCTAAATGTACTACTGGAAACGTTGAAATGACTGACGGAAAACGGGAAAATCATGAAAGCATAAGCTTAAGTAGTTGTTTTTTGAATAAGATGTCAATGCTTAGGAAATAAAAGTAAAAATTGACAGATGGATTACAATGAAACCCCTTAGAACCATTCATATACACTTATTCATGCACACATACACATTCAGCAGTATGTTACTCATCTATATAGTAAAAATGTTCCCATTTTCAGGAAAATAGATGGAGAGCTAGAGATCATTATGTTAAGTGAAACAAGCCCAACTCAAACGATATATATCACGGTTTCTTATGCAGAATCTAGACCCTAAAAAAAATGAAGATACAGGAGGCACTGTTTAGGAAGAGGGCAAGTAGCAAAAGGGGGGGTGAGAGAAGAAAATGATGGGTTAGATAATATAAAAGTATTTTGTATGATGTATGAAAATAGAATAGTGAACTTCATTAAAATGTATTTTAAAGGGGAGGGATGAAAATAAAAGAAACATAATAGAGTAAATTAGAGATCAAAGTACATTATGCTCATATATGGAAATATCAAAGTGAAAGTGAAATCCTTTGTACAGTTAATACATGCTAATATATTTTTTTAATCAAAGAGTATGGAAGCTGTCTGTAATGATACAGATCTTACTAGGCTGTTTTCAACCAAATAGTGAACTGAATGGAGTTGAGTGGTCTTAGATTGACTGTAAACTCTTTTTTATTAATGCTCTTTTTTATATACCTGAGTCTTAGTGAATG